GCCTGATCTTATCCTCAATTATTTCCTCTAAACAGATTAAATTTATACTGATTAGAGGTAATTAGTTTAGCTCACGTAAGTTAATCTACTACTTACAGTCCAATATTAATTTCTGAATAATTCAATATTGTTTTATATTCTTACTCGCGTAATATTTCAAACTGTTTCAAGTCTTAAAATTAATTTTAGACTGAACAAATTCTAAATTTTAATTTTCTGTATTCTATCCCGAGAATGACGTTTCTGACAGTGTCAACTCCCGAGCTCATATTGTATCCATCTACTATAGGTATTTATCTTGTGACTTTAACCTAACTGTTTGGCAAATTAAGGATTTTTTTTTCTTATTTTAAAATGTCAGTGCGTTTTTTTTTATACGCCGCTAACATCGTGCTGTGCTTAGAGATTCTTGAAATTAAGATTCTCAAACTATACTTGTACTGAAAATTATTCCGCCTTAAAATACGGCGAGAATTTATCGATCGAATTTACTTGATCGAAACATGAACTTAACATGAAATTTACTATAGAATTTAGAAATACATATATTAATTCCATAAATCCTCCATTCACAATATAACATAATATTTTCTAAGAAAATCCTTGGCTTAAAAATACATGAATTGTATTATTTAAGGTCTGGAATTTTCTCAGTCATTACACTATGTACTTCAGCTTCCAGTGCAGCACCTCCACGGGCAGTGTCACTTTCAAGTCACCAAGCGGTGAGTACCGCGTGATTAGCACTGATCCAGGTAACCGAAAATTTGTCATTCAAGTTGAGGATTTTGATAACTGTGAGGCTAGAAATTCCAGAGGAAAGAATCTGCAGCTCAACAAGTCGTTACCATTTAGTGTCAGCAATTCGTGCTATGCTAAAGATTCACATAAAGATAGAGGTGAAATTGAAATTGTTTGGGAGATACCATCGGAGCCAACCTGCACTTCGCAGGCAAGCTGCAAAGAATGGCCAGATTCAACTTGCAGTATTGGAAGAGGTGGAAACAAGAGGTGCCTTTGTAATAAAAATTTTGATTGGGATGGCGTTAAATTGAATTGTACCGCTAATCAAGGTGAGGTCTTTGTCATGCTAAAGAAGATTTCTTTTAATTAATTTTATGATTAGTCTAAATATCCATGAAAGCCAAATGCCTGATATATCTCCCACTGATGATTTAACCCCATACCATTCTCTCTCTTCCCTCTACAGTATTTTTAACTATACTAAGCTAGGAATTCAGTCCTAAGATGTACTGTCACCATTCTTTTTACAAAATCAGCAGTCCATTGAACTTCACTACTATCCCTGCAGAAAAATAAATAATAATGACAACAACGATGATGATGATAATAAAAAGAATGACTTATATCCTTGTATTCTTCCATCATTTGATCTTCCTACCATAAGTATAATGATTGATGACTGCGTTCCTCTTGCGTCTCTGCAGAAGGTACTTTTTTTCATCCCTCAGAAGGAAAGTCTCGTAGAAAAACAACACCTTTATCTCTTATTGTCGTGCCAATAGTCGTGAGTGTAGCCGTTCTAGCATGCAGTTTTGTTTCATTTATCATTTGGAGAAAAAAAATGTCCAAGAAAAATGGTGAGCACCTTTGCAAAATTATCATCACGTACTGATTTCTTTAGTCTATTTGTTTAAGGCTAAGCATAAAACCATTTAGTTAGTTGATTGGGTGTATTGATCCTAGCTATATACCCCTTATCTTCTAAATCCAGAAAGCATAAGATCTGATCAAAGAAGTAAAGATCTGCTCAAGCTAGACACTCAAAGACGTATCAAACACCTAATAAATTCCGGTGAGTTCGATCAAGAAGATGAGGAAGGCATAGACGTACCCTTTTTTGACTTTGAAAGCATTATAGCCGCAACCGATGACTTCTCAGATGCAAACAAACTCGGACAGGGTGGATATGGGCCTGTTTACAAGGTACATTAGCTTTTTTCTGCTCCTTCTTGTCCATTCCAACTATTTTTAACAACATTGTATGGGAACCTCGATTACAGGGTAAATTTCCAGGAGGTCAAGAAATCGCAGTGAAGAGGCTGTCAAGTGTTTCAGGACAAGGATTGCAAGAATTTAAGAATGAGGTGGTTTTGATAGCCAAACTTCAACATCGAAACCTTGTTAGACTTCGAGGATATTGCATAAAAGGAGAGGAAAAGATTTTACTCTACGAGTACATGCCAAATAAAAGCTTAGACTCCTTCATATTCGGTATATTATCTCCATTCCATGGTATTCTGCATCTTGATTGATAACAGCTTATTTTTCACGTGTAGCTAAAATATGTTCTGGTATGAAAATTGTTTGATATGCAAGATGACACAAAAAGCGTGTTATTGGACTGGGAGATGCGCTTTAACATCATTTTGGGGATAGCTCGAGGGCTTCTCTATCTTCATCAAGACTCGAGATTGAGGATCATTCACAGAGATTTGAAAACCAGCAATATTCTTTTAGACCAGGATATGGAGCCCAAAGTATCTGACTTTGGCTTGGCCAGGATTGTTGGAGGCAAACAAACTGAGGCGAGCACAAATAGAGTTGTTGGAACATAGTAAGTTTCATCGAGACAGTAAAATTGCCAAACCAATGGTTTTGCATAATTTATTTACTGTTATAATCTGTTACCTCGATGCAGTGGATACATGTCTCCTGAGTATGCACTAGAGGGACTTTTCTCTGTCAAATCCGATGTTTTTAGCTTCGGTGTAGTTCTGCTCGAGATAATTAGTGGGAAAAGGAACACAAGGCTTGTTCAGTACTACGAGCAACCTTTGAGCCTCCTCGGTTATGTAAGCCTGTGTTTTTATGGTCTTTCTGTTTATATATACGTATATATGTATATGCATATATATCATGGTAAAGTTCAAATGCAATATGAATTGACATTTTTCTCAGGCATGGAGACTCTGGACAGAAAATAAGGTGTTGGATTTAATGGACCCTACTTTGCATGGGAGTTACAAAGAAGACCCATATGTGAAGTGCTTCAAAGTTGGGCTTTTATGCGTACAAGAAGACCCAAGTGAACGGCCCACCATGTCAAGTATCATCACCATGCTTGACAGTGAATCTTCAACTGTTCCAACTCCTCAACAACCAGCCTTTGTCCTAAGGAGAAGTTCGGTTGTAGCTTCTTCGTCTTCTAGTAAACCCATTGCCGAGATAACGGCCACTCTAGAAGAAGGGCGGTAGTGCATGACAAGAGCGTCCCGCCAAGCTTCTCATTTCGAGTTTTTCACACAAAGTTACAGAGCTTTTTTGGTCTATTTTTTCACTCATGATTGTAGTTTGCTTGAAAATTCCTAACAAGGTGGTAACTGTAAAGCTATTTCCCCTTTAGAATCAAACTAGCTACTCATTGTAAATTGACATTGTATCAAATGAAATTGATAAATTTCAAACAGAACATACTGTTGGAAGATGAATCCAACACCTAATCTCAATAAGAATCTAAACAAAGAAAAGAAGAACAAGAACACAAAATTTGATCTCGGAGTTACGGCACAAAAATTGCCTACGTCTCCGCGCGAACTCCCCAGAGGAAATTCGATTTGCGCTAATGATGATCAAGCTGAATTACGTGAGAATCTGTATGAGAACAATTTCCAGAAATCCCGGCCCTTTCCCGGGAAAACAGTGAGAAAATCCCTGAGAAACCTTGACTTTTCTCTCACCCTTCTCACCCAAACAATTTTCTCTCTCTAGGCTTTTCTGTTACAAGTTTAACCTTCTAATCTCTCCCTAATTCTTTCTCAACCGAAAGAATTGATTGATCTCACACACTCTCTCTCTCTGGACCCCGTTTTTATTTGAAGAAGAAAAACTGGTTGTTACCGATATAAGAAATGAATAAGTAGTAAAAATGGATGTCCACGTCAGCTTCCACTACCTCTTGGCTATCAATTCTGGAATACTCTTGAAAGTAACCACATGACTCCACGTATTTTTATAGGAATTGACTCAACACATACATTGACTTTTCGGCTAGTGTACATAAAGAAATTATTCAGTCATACAGTAACACATTGTTTAATCATCGCTTTAAAAAAAAAAAAAAAAAAAAAAAAAAAAAAAAATATATGATAGACTTTGGCCTTTCCTTTTCCAAAGATGGTACTAACGATAAAAAGGAAGGTGGGAGAGTAAAAATACAAAATTTCATTGACAAAATAGCTTAAGAGGAAAAAAAAAAAAAAAAAGAAAATTAAGAGATTCTGCTCAAGTAAGAAACAAACTAATTAAAATGGATTAAGCTAATATTAAGACCTCAGAATGTGCAACAAATCAACTGAGTTAACTTCTTAATTTTCAACACAAGAAATATTCCGAACTGAATGCCAAAAGGGTATATTTAAAAAGGATGACGTTTTGCTTTGCATGGTGCAGTATACCTTATCCACTCGAACACTTCAAAGAAATGGCTGGTCTTCAATTAAGCTAATTTTCCAGTCATCTCATATACATCGTCACAAAAATTAAAATTAGAAGGGGACTCACATTCACTTTTTTAAATATATATTTTTCTACCACTAGAAAAAATAACACCACAGAAAAATAAAAGGTGTGTATATCCTTTTTTGCTTGTGATAAAGGTCGATATGAATAGATGTTGAAAACTACGTTTGTTAAAGGCAGGACATCACAGAATATATATATATATATATATATATATTTATATATATTATTGTTCTAAGGAAACAGGATACAACAATATACCAATTATATATTCTAAAATTTGTTGACCAAGCGCAGACTAAACAAAAAAAAAAAAAAAAAAAAAAAAAAACTGGTTGAATATTAAGGGCTTGTTTAAAAAATATGCTCAAATTATGATTTAGGTTTATTGACGGGAGCAGAGAAAATTTTAAAATTTAAACTCTTTATTAGATCAAAAACACAAATGCATTGTATGAGCTAATCATTTTTTTTTCCCTAGTGCACTTGCGCTAGAGTGTTGCTTTTTAGTAATTGCAAAACTTGATCAAAATCACACAAATTCTTAACATTCCTTAAAATATGCTGAATTCATTTGCTAATAGACAAGAACACCGGTCAGTGAGAGTGTGGGACATCTTGGTAAAGCAAGTAATCACTTTGCAAAATCATACGTTGAATGCACCACCTTAGTCATCACCTTAATATATTTTCTTTTCCTCCCTATAATCGTAACCAAAAAAAAAAAAAAAAGATGAATGGCAAGAACAAGCAACAGTCCTACATGGTCGACGAATCTGTCATGATCTTCTTCTTGCTGTGCTCTTCTCTTCTACTAAATTGTTCTGCAACAGATACCATGAGGCTTGGCGATTGGATTGTGGCAGAGAATGATACTCTGGTTTCAGCTGGAGGGAAATTTGAGGTTGGATTCTTTTCTCCTAATGAATTTAGTAGTTCTACTGATATTAGAAGATATGTTGGGATATGGTATCACAACTTGCATCAGCGGATCGTTGTGTGGGTTGCAAACAGACAGAATCCATTCCTTGTAAATTCCTCTGTAGTTTTTGGAATCACAGAAGATGGAAACCTCCAAATACAGGATAAGAAAACTGGGAAATCTTATTGGTCAACGGATCTCAAAAAGTTCCCATCATCATCTGCAAACAGGTCAGTGACGCTCATGGACACTGGAAATCTGGTGTTGAGAGAGAGTATTAATGATCAGTGGGCGACATCAAGCTTGTGGGAGAGCTTTAGAGACGCAAGTGATACGTTTCTACCGGGGATGAAGATGGACGAAAACTTCACATTGACTTCGTGGAAAAGCGAAAATGATCCAAGAAAAGGGGAGTTCCACTTTAAACTCGAAAACGGATCATATGTGGTTTTCAAGAGCAAATCAGTTCTTTATTGGAAAAGTGGAGATGCAGGGAAATTTTTCGGGTCAGCTAAGATGTCAGAAACGGTAGTCAACCTGTTATCAAATTTCACCAAGAACATTACTTCTCATCGAAGAAACCTAGAAAATGACTATTTTCTTGAGAGGTTTGTGATCAAACCAAACGGAACGATTCAGTACCTCAACTGGGATAAGGAAAATAATGATTGGTCTGTGAAATGGTGGGAACCGAGAGACAACTGCAGTGTGTTCAATGCCTGCGGAGACTTTGGCATCTGTACGGTCAGCGACAACGGGTTTACCTGCAAATGCATTCCTGGATTCATGCCGAAAGATCCAAGGAGGTGGAAGTCAGGGGATTTCTTAGGTGGCTGCAAGAGAGGAAAGGCACTCTGCGGCGAGAAGACGACGTTCTTGAGCTTGAAGATGATCAAAGTTGGTTACCCGAAATCAGAAGGCTTGCCAGTTAACAACGAGGCTGAGTGTCGGAAGGAGTGCGAAGACAATTGCCATTGCCAAGCTTATTCCCTTCAGCCAGCTCCGAGAAGAGGTAATACTGCCCTGTGCTGGATATGGCAGGAATCTCTCAACGATCTTCAAGAGGATTATGCGCAGGGTGATCTTGAGCTCTTCGTTCAAGTCGTCTTGTCTGATTTAGGTAATCTAAGCTACTTTTACCGCTGATCATCATGGTTCATTTTTAACCAATCGCAAATTGATATACCATTGACTTAGAGGTTAAGAGATTGAAAGAGAGTTCTTTGAAAATTTATCTTTACTAACTCAGGTACGACAATAGTTCTTTATTCATTACATTGTGTTTTTTTTTTTTTTTTTTTTTTAATGAAGGATAAGTTTGTGACTACTATTGTTAGCATATGAGAAAGAAAGGGACTACAAATTATTCTGATTTTAGGAGAAATTGTCAGTTTTTTCTTTAAAATTTTCAGTTTTTAACGCTATTTTTGGATTTGAGGGGTCTTTTTTTTCTTCTCTATTTTGTCAAAGTCGTGTGTGGACGGAGAAAAAGTATACATAAACTATTAAATGCAACGACGTAAAAATACAGGGTATACTTTCCATCATAATACTGTCCAAACTTTTTGTCCAAATACGAATTCGGATGATGAGTTTGACTCAAATTGGACTTCATGTGTTCGAATCTACTAACAGAAAACGCAATATATTTGCATGTTTGATTCTGGTATTTTGTTTTTTAATTTGGTAATGACATTGAAGAAATATAACAAAATGCAGAACCAACCGGCAGAGACTGCAGGCCTTGTGGGACAACCGTGATCCCTTATCCCTTGAGCACCGGATATGATTGTGGCGACCCTTTGTACTTCAGTTTCCAATGCAGCAACGCCAATGGCAGAGTCAGTTTCAATGCATCCGGTGGCGAATACCAAGTAATTAGCATTAATCCAAGTAGCCAAAAATTCATCATCCAAGTCCATGAGGATAAGGTCATTCACAACTGCATGCCTAAAACTTATAGAATCACGAATCCGCAGCTCAACCAGTCTGTATTTAATGCCACCGATTGGTGCTACGACAAAGGTGAAAAGGGCAAGATAGAAGTTCAATGGAAGATACCCCAGGAGCCAACCTGTACTTTGAAGGAAGACTGCAAAGAATGGCCAAGTTCAACTTGTTCTAAGGCAAAGAGTGATGGAAAGAAGAGATGCTTTTGCAATTCAAACTTCAATTGGGATGGTGTTAAATTGAATTGTACTGGTAAACAAGGTGAGCTTTTATGTTCTGGGATAAATTGAGACAATACATTTGCTGAGGAAAATCTATAATTTGTGACACTACTACAATACCCTTCCTTGCCCTTATTGATGCATTTTAAAAAAGAAAAATGCTAGCATCACTTTTTCTCTCACTCCCTTTCTCACTCTCTGCATTTACTGTTTGACACGTGGACTTTACTATTTGATTTTCTGGTTAAATAATAATATATCATGTTAGTGAAGTCCGCATGTCAAATAGTGAATGCAGAGAGTGAGAAAAAGAATGACAGAAAGAGAGATGTTAGCATTCTCTTTAAAAAAAAAGGGAACAAAATCCACAGTTTCATAACAAGCTATTCTTCTTGCTTTCTTCGTAGGCCGTGATCTTAAGCAGCCTGAAGAAAAGCCTGATAAAGAGAAAGCTTCATCGCCATTGGTGATTCTCTTGTCTACAATTTCAAGTGTGACTATTATGGCATGCATTGTCCTTTCTTTTGTCATGTGGCAACGAAAGATGGCCGAGAGAAAAGGTTTGTTCTTCAACACCTTCACATTATGGTTGGTTGAATTGATCAAATTTTATGGGAATGAATCTCTCAAGAATTTATTGCACAGTAATGAACTATGACCAACATAAGCATTATTTTCTAAATTCAGAGAAAAGAAAATTATCTGAACAAAGAAATAGAGCACTCCGCCCGTTGGACACAGAAAGACAAATCAATGACTTGATAGACTCTAGCGAGTTCAAGGGAGATGGTGAAAAGGGCATAGATCTACCGTTTTTCGATTTAGAAAGCATACTAGCTGCAACAGATTACTTCTCCGATGAAAACAAACTTGGACAAGGGGGCTATGGACCTGTCTACAAGGTACCCTCAGTACTACATTTTTGCTTCCACTTTTTCCCCTCCCAACAAAGTATTTGCTTAACAACAATGTCAATGTGTGTGGGGACTTTAATGTCAGGGAAAGTTTCCAGGAGGTCAAGACGTCGCAATAAAGAGACTTTCAAGCGTTTCTGGCCAAGGCTTGCAGGAATTCAAGAATGAGGTTATTTTAATAGCAAAACTTCAACATCGAAACCTCGTTCGACTTCGGGGATATTGCATGGAAAAAGACGAGAAGATTTTACTCTATGAATACATGCCTAATAAGAGCTTAGACACCTTCATATTTGGTATACAACTCTACTACTACATATTTTGTGGCTTAATTAATGGTGGCTAATCTATGATGACGCCCTGATTATCTCTCTTTTTTGTGGGCATGATTCGGAAGATGACACAAAAAGTGCTCTATTGGACTGGGTGCTGCGCTTTGACATTATTATGGGGATAGCTCGAGGGCTTCTTTATCTTCACCAAGACTCTAGATTAAGGATCATTCACAGAGATTTAAAAACGAGCAATATTCTTTTAGACCAGTTCATGAACCCCAAAATATCCGACTTTGGTTTGGCGAGAATGGTTGGAGGCAAACAAACAGAGGCCAACACAAGCAGAGTAGTTGGAACCTAGTAAGTTTCATCTTTGAAAAATATATTATTTCCCAAATGTGATTATCCTAAATCTCTCAGAGCTTCGAAGAGGAGTCTATTACTGACTGTAATAAATTCTTGATTCATCATCACAATGCAGTGGTTATATGCCTCCAGAGTATGCACTAGAAGGAGTTTTCTCCGTCAAATCCGATGTCTTTAGCTTCGGTGTTGTTCTACTTGAGACTGTTAGTGGGAAAAGGAACACAAGAGTTGTTCAGTCCGATCAACCTCTGACCCTCCAAGGTTATGTAAGTACAAGTTTTTTTTTTAATCTTTGCGTATCAACTAACTCCTTTACTTTTGTATGGCCATCTTATTCAGTTTCTTTATCATATTGACATTTCTTCAAGGCATGGAGACTCTGGACAGAAAACAAGGTGCTGGATTTGATGGACCAGACATTGAAAGAAAGTTGCAAAGAAGATCAATTTATAAAGTGTGTGAATGTTGGGCTCCTATGCGTGCAAGAAGACCCGTGTGATCGGCCAAACATGTCGAATATAGTCACCATGCTTGACAGCGAATCCGCAACACTTCCATCTCCAAAACAACCGGCCTTTGTGCTTAGGAGAGGATCTAACACAGGCACGGCTTCTTCTTCTAGTAAGCCCACAGCAATTACTGAAATAACTTTTAGTTTGGAAGAAGGTCGTTAATAAGTTCGCCAAGACCTCTCTTTTTTTTTTCTTTAGTTATTATTCTTCCTTGAAGATTTGACTTTGTCTATTCACGTATCCATTTTTCTGACTGTAGCTTAGTTGTTGTATTTTTTTTTTTTTTTTTTTTTTTTTTTGGTGTGTTCGCTCAAGTTGTGTTTATGGTTTTTCTTGAAACGATTTCCTTCCGTTTTGTAACTGCCAAGTTCTTTTTATGGCAAAAGACTGTGTGAAAATATTTTGGACAAGTAGTAGAATTATATGAAGAGTTTTCCAATTTTTTTAAATAAAAAATAAAAATAACAATGCAGATGGACAATGGTAGCTGTAAGTTGTAAGTTGCTGTGAAAAGAAAGCCGCCTAAGCTACAGTCAGAAAAATGTAAGTTCCTTAATGAAAAGAAAGCCGCCTAGGGCTCTAAAACGTATCTTAAATTCTTTCCCACGAAAACAGAGGAAGAAAAAAAAAATACTAAAAGCCAAGGGACCACTATAAAAAGGTAACATGAGTTAAAAAATTCCTACAATCTTGACCATGTTGGCCACCTAAGCTACCTAGCTTCCCATTCCAATAATTCCATTTAGTCAAAAAAAAAAATACTACCACTCAAACTACAGTTTTTAACATGATTGCACACTCGCCATAAGCATTAGATCATGCTTACATTTATTTAATAGTCGCCGCCTAAAACTGTCCAATTCCAATTTGTACAGATTTGTGGAGAAGCTAATTAAAGTATTTATACTTGGACGGTAGATTCAACAGTGAGAGATTCTCAGTAGTTTATATATAGACAAAGTTAACTTAGATGGATTCTGAAAAAGAAAAGGAAAATGTTATATCGCTCGAGGTATTTTAAGCCTTATTCATTTCACTAATTCGAGTTTTCAATTTTAGTTTTGTTACAGTTAAAAGTTTTCATAAAAAGTCACATTTAACTTTTTCTGCTACAGTAAAAAACTCTCACGTAAAATCACATCTCAGCTCAAATTGAAAACTCGAATCCGCAAACTAAACGATGCGTTAGATAATACCATACAGGCATCTTAGACTAAAAAAGAACATATCAAGGGGAATAATTTTTTATTCTAAAAAAAGGAAATAAAAGCCCTTTTTCTCTCTTTTTTTTTTTGTTTTAGAATTTTATGTATTAAAGAACTAATATGGAGTTTTTATTTAAAATGCCATCAAGGATATTTTAAGTCCCAAAAAACGGATGCAGAGTACATGGAGGGCATTGTAAGTACATGTACTGATTTGGTATTAACTAAATACTAAGATACCAATCAACTAATTTGATAAAAACTATAGGGCACCAGACAATATTTTCGAAAAATAAATAATAATAACATAGATGAACTTGCAAGCAGTGTTAATGTGAGGCAAATCTTCTCAGTTTTAGTACTTCTGTACCGGGCTTCTAGTTACTTATTGAACTAATTGGGTTAACTTTACCATAATATAAGCTTTCAATTTTTTTTCATATAATTTATTATGACCTAGCTATAACCTCATTGATGACCTAGCTATAACCTCATTGAAAAGGCCAATCCTATATATCATTGTAACATTAACATATATATTTCTTTTCTACCAAAAACAAACATTAACATATATATCACACTCGTGAGAGCTGTCATGTTTTCTTTTTCAATTTTTCTTTTTGTGGGGTTTTGGAAGTTAAACGTGTATGGTGAAGTGTGTTGGAGATACTTCCTATTCAGTCTCTGCTTGACTTGTTTTCCCCTTTGCCGTTTTTATTATTTCAATCTGCATTATTCCACGGCAAAAATATTCAAATACCATTCAAGTGTCATTGTCACCTTATAAACAATTATGACTGCTAGAGAAACTTCAATAAAATTAACCAATTAATCCCTGACTAGTGTAAAAAAATTAAATATGTGGGGGCAATTCCGGTAGTGAAAAACAGCAAGGAGGCACTTTCATTAGAAAGGGAAAAAATAAAAAAATAAAAAATAAAAAATAAAATCACGCGGCGGGCTCTATAGAAGATTTTATTAATGATTTAACTTTTTTTGTATCACTGTATGAGTCCTTGTTTGTGGTTAAGAAGATTATCTAGAGGCTTTCATTATCTCATTATGGTAAGCAAAAGAAGAAAGCTCGAGAAAGAAAGAAAAAAAAATTATAATCATGATTAGTTGGTCTGTAAATCACATGTCGTTTATCTTGTTTTACTACTCATTCTTGTTGTGCACTTCTTTTGTGTGTTACTCAGCTAAAGACGCCGTCACGTTTAGGAGTTTTCTTACTGATGAGACAAAAGGTTCTCTTGTTTCAGCAGGAGAAGTTTTTGAGTTGGGATTTTTTACTCCTAATGGAAGCTCTGACTATAGGAGATATGTTGGGATATGGTATTACCAGTCTAGTCCAAAAGCAGTTGTGTGGGTGGCCAATAGAGATAGCCCGGTTTCGGGTACTAATGGAGTTTTCGCAGTTTCGGAAGATGGCAATCTCAAGGTATTGGATAAGAGTGGGAAAATATATTGGTCAACAAACATTGCAAGCTCATCCCAAGGGAATATAACAGCCAAGTTAATGGATTCTGGGAATTTGGTTCTGAGTAGTGAAGATCCCAAAGATCAGTCAGTGACGATTCTCTGGCGAAGTTTCGAAAATCCGACAGATACTTTTCTTCCAGGAATGATGTTGGATGAGAATTTAGTATTGACTTCATGGAGAAGTTTTGATGATCCAGCACCAGGGAACTTCACATTTCATCAGGATCAGGAGAGGACAAACCAGGTCATCATTTTGAAGAGATCGGTTAAGTACTGGAACAGCGGAGTTTCGGGGAGATTCATTAGCCTCAATGAGATGCCTCCAACAATGCTTTACTTGCTCTCAAATTTCACTTCCAAAACAGTCCGCAACAACTCTATTCCTTATCTCACACCATCAATGTACATCAACACAAGGCTGGTCATGACAATTTCGGGTCAAATTCAGTACCTGTTGTGGGATTCTCATAAGGTTTGGTCCGCAATTTGGGCAGAGCCCAGAGATAAATGCAGTGTGTACAATGCTTGTGGAAATTTTGGTAGCTGCAACAGTAAGAACAACTTGGTCTGCAAGTGTTTGCCCGGTTTCAAGCCAATCTCGCAGAAAAATTGGAATAGTGGGGATTACTCAGGTGGGTGTGCCAGACAAACAGCAACATGTAGTAACAATTCCAAGGGTGACACATTCTTGGACCTGAAGATGATGAAAGTTGGAAATCCAGATTCTCAATTCAATGCCAAGAGTGAAATGGAGTGTAAAATGGAGTGCCTCAACAACTGCCAGTGTCAGGCCTACTTGTATGAAGAAGGTGAAATAACACAAGGGAGTAGTAGCTCTGCATGTTGGATTTGGTCTGAGGAGCTCAACAATCTTCAGGAGGAGTATAAAAGTGACCGGAACCTCCATGTTCGTGTGGCAGTCTCCAATATAGGTATGTGTCATTCTTTGTTTTTGCTTTAATTTATGTCTATTTGTGGTTATGTAACTGACAAGATGAAACTAGTTTACTAGTGGAGCTCAAAAATAGAAAATTATAAAATTTGCCTCTTCAGATTCACCTCTTTATTTTTGTGCCGGTCTCATAGAATTTAGCTCTTCTCAAGTTGATATAAAAGGAGAGAAGTTGAGGATGTGTTTAAGAAAGGGCATATATTTTTACGCCTCTCCAAGAAAGAGGCATTCCGCTAGATTTCCCACTTAACTCATTTCTGATTATACCTCTTTGGACTTTTAGAGAGGCCATTATTTCCTTTTCAAAGTACTAGTTATCAAGTTACTATAAATTCAGCGATAGCATTGAACTAAGCTACCGTTCTGTACCAGATCTTTCAGACCTTCTGTTGATGAAAAAACAGAATTTTCTGTGCCCTTTTTTTTTCTGCTTTGGCTGCATTTCAAGGATTTTTATTTTTGTAGAGTTGACAAAGAGGAGTTGCGAATCATGTGGCACAAACCTGATCCCTTATCCTCTTAGCACTGGACCAAAATGCGGTGACCCCTCGTATAACAGTTTCCACTGCAACGTCTCGGATGGCCAGGTCAACTTTGAGACACCAAATGGCACCTTCAGAGTCACAAGCATCAATCCAGATACACGAACATTTTTCATCCGGATCGAAGACATAGATAATTGTAAAAATATTTCAAGTGGAAACTTTTTGCAGCTAAACCAGTCATTGCCATTTAATATGATGAGCGGTTGCAATTCTAACTTGGCAAATTTTAGTTCCGAGTTAATATCTAAAGGCGGGGTGGAAGTAGAAATTGCTTGGAAACCACCATTAGAGCCAATTTGTTCTGCACCTGCGGACTGCCAGGACTGGCCAAATTCAAGTTGCAATGAAACTGAAGATGGGAAGAACAGGTGCATCTGCAACAAAAATTTCCATTGGGATAGCTTGAACTTAAAATGCACTCGAGGTATGGCGCGAGAGTATCTAGATTCAACTTACTTTTTAAGTTTCTTCAGTAATTAAATTGTTCTTTGAATTTATGCAGAGAGTGCGCACAGCAAGAAAACTGGTATAGGAAAGATGACATTGGCTCTGACAATTACAGTTATTTGCACAAGTATTGCAGTTATAGTTACTCTCTCAAGTACTATTTTTTTTATTTTTTGTTGGAGAAAAAAGCTGGTCAAAAGACAAGGTAAGAACTAGGAAAAAACCTATTTATGACTGTATATCTCTCAGCATATGAGAGCTTTAAGTTGCTATAACTAGCACCTGATTGATGATTTTCAGATAGCAAAGGAAGCTTTGAAAAGAATGCTGTGCTTCAATTGTATGACAGTGAGAGACGCGCGAAAAGCTTCATTGAATCAGGGAGGTACAAAGAGGATGATACCAAAGGCATAGAAGTACCTTTCTTCGATCTCGAAAGTGTACTTGCCGCAACAGATTACTTCTCGAGCACAAACAAGCTTGGACAAGGAGGGTTTGGACCTGTGTACAAGGTAGACTTTGGTTACTGAAACTTGTTGGGATTCATTTTTAACTAGTTTCCGCTCAACCCAGTGACGTTTCATTTGGGTGTCTTACTCAGGGTAAGCTTCCGGGTGGACAAGAAATTGCTGTAAAGAGACTCTCAAGTGGTTCAGGACAAGGCCATGAGGAATTCAAGAACGAAGTTCTGCTGATTGCGAAACTTCAACATCGAAATCTGGTTAGACTTTTGGGTTATTGCATTGAAGCAGAAGAAAGGATGTTGATATACGAATACATGGCTAACAGAAGCTTAGACTCTTTCATATTTGGTCAGTATCTAACTTGCATTTTCTATGTTCTCATTTCATAATGTGTTATATTCTTATGAATAAAAGTTAATTGTCTTCTTCAATGAAAAATTAATTCCTATGAAGATCGAAAGTTATGCATGATACTGGACTGGCATATGCGTTTCAACATCATTTTGGGAATTGCCAGAGGGCTTCTCTACCTTCATCAAGATTCGCGGCTAAGAATTATCCACCGAGATCTGAAAACCAGTAACATATTGCTAGACCAGGAAATGATTCCCAAAATCTCCGACTTCGGTTTGGCAAGGATTTTTGGTGCCAATGAAACCTCAGTAAACACCAAAAGAGTAGTTGGGACATAGTAAGTTCACAATGTTTTCCTCAGTACTATTCAAGCACAAACTTCAATCTTCTGACTCTTTGATTATGTTTTCCTGCTTTGCAGTGGCTATATGTCTCCAGAGTACGCTTTAGATGGACTATTTTCAGTCAAGTCCGATGTTTTCAGCTTCGGAGTTGTCGTGATTGAGATTATTAGTGGAAAAAGGAACACTGGATTTTATGAGCCTGCACATGCTTTGAGCCTCCTAGGCTATGTGTGTATTCTTCCTGAAAAATAAAAATTCAGTACCAACAATCAGTAGTTTCCTCTTTGCTTCCTAAAATCTTTCATATCTAACTCTTTTGTTCTGTAAATTGCTCAGGCATGGCATCTTTGGAAAGAAGAGAATGCACTGGATTTGTTGGAAAAGACACTATGTGAAAGCTGCAAGAAAGAGGAATACTTGAAGTGCATTAATGTTGGTTTGTTATGCGTCCAAGAAGATCCAAGTGACCGTCCTACCATGTCGAACGTCGTTTTCATGCTCGGAAGCGAAACTGCAACGCTTCCAACTCCTAAACAACCGGCATTTGTTGTCAGGCGATGCCCTTCTAGCAGAGCATCTTCTTCAAGTAAACCAGAAACATTTTCACATAACGAATTAACGGTCACGTTAGAAGATGGCAGATAGCAAAAAAGGTGCCTTTTCGCAGTTTTCTTGTTCCGTTGATCAATGACATGTTATGAAGCTACTTCTCTATCAGCATTAAATTTTGAGGCCATGTACCTTTCTTTTCTTTTCATTTCTTATTAGAGTATAATGAATATGTGAAAATTATTTTTTTTTTCTCCAATTGAGTGTCACGCTTCCTTGGTTTAGGCGATATCTGAAACTAGTGAGCATCAAAATAAACTTTAGGATGCAAAGTAGAGTTGCTTTGTGTGCGCTGAAGCATATACATCGCTCTTAAGTGCAAATATACCATTTTCTTTTTTTCTTTTTTTTTTTTTTTTTTTTTTTTTTTTTTTTTTTTTTTAAATGAAACCCACAAAAAAAATTTTTTGTCAATGAGACCCGACAATAAAAATTTTCATTGATTCAAATTGATTTAACTGCTATAAATGGGTAGCACGATACATCTCAAAATCATAAGTTATATCTAATTCTGTCATAAAGATTGAGCTATAGTAATTTTTCATATTCTAGGGGATATGATTTAGATGAATAAACTAAGTTGATTTGACTGCATTAATTTTTTGTCAGAAGGAACTTGTTCGTTATTTTACCCCCAGAGAACTCTACTAGGCTGCTTTCTACATGGGACTTGGAAATTCCAAAGGTCCACAGTCAAAATTCAGTTGTTCATAAACGGTAGAAGAGCGAAATAGTCAATACCCCAGAAAGCCACCATGCTACTGCAAAATAATAGAATTGAACAAGTATTGACATTTGAAAATTTATGCTCTTAGTGCTAGTGCCATAATAACATCTTTTTTAATGGCTCATTAAATTTGGTAAAGGGAAATCGCAAATTTTATCTATTTTATTTTTTTTAAAGAGAAATTGCAAATGCTACTCTTGGTTACTTCACTTTTCAATTAGAAATTTTTTTTATCCCCATTAGATACAATAAGTGAGTTTCACGGTCCCACTTAGTGCTGGAACTTTAAACGGACCGTCCGCGACTGCCTGAAAAAACCGATTTTAAACCTGATACCCGAACCCACCCGCCTAAATTTTTTGGGCCACCCGCCCGAACCTAAGAAAGCCCATGGACAAGCCGCGGGCCTGGTTTTGGTTGCCCGAGCCCGCCGAATTGCCCAAAAAAAATATATTTTTTAATTTTTATAATATTGTGTATATATATATTATATAATATACTTTTATTTATTAATTGTATTTGTATATAAATTATTATTAAGTTATTTTGTGTTAAAATTATATAAAAACTAAAATCAACACATATTATTAACACAATTTAATAAATTAATTTTGTATATTAATTTTTAAATTTGTAATTCATGATTGACTCGTTAAAAATCTTACCAAGAAAAACCCAACTGGAATAAAAACTTAGTAAAGAAAAAAGAGTGCAATCATTTTGTGACGAATTACAAATTTTATAAATTTACAAAGTCTATATATATAATTACAATGTCGAAAGTAAATACATATTTACAAATTACAATTTCATTTGAAGTTGAAAGATCATCTTTAAAATTAAATGTTAATCTATTAAATTTATCGATACATTCTTGACTTGCCGGCGAAATGGTATCCTGTAAACGTTGATTGGCACGATCCCAATCCTTAATGCAGACTGGCCAAGTTAATGCTCATGCCCTCCACCATTGAACTAAGTCAAACTATTCTCCACTACCGTCATAAGCTCGTTGAAGCCGCTGTCGCCGCCACTTGTTGATGAAGATCCGCTCCCAGCTTTTGTTTGAGTCGTCTTCTTCTTTTTCTTCAACCCGAAAACATTCAAGAATGAATAAGGGTTTCATCTCTTTGTTGTGGTTCCTGTACTCCAAAATTTATGTTTCTAAACCTATTCTCATATTTGCTATAAAGAGAAAATATTTTTCCTTTATTTTAGGAAATTGGTAAGAATAATCGATGCCTAAAAATTCACCTAAGTTGTCTAAACCACTTTCTAAACCTTCTAATTTTAATCTAGGATCAAAAATTGTATCAAAATCATACAACATTAGCAATTTAGACCAATATTTTTTAAATTTCTATTTCATAGAAGTGATAAGAACTTCTAAAATTGGGTCCTTCCTATATTCTAATTAAGATGATGTTGGGTAATATGTTCTACTAAGTTTTAAAGTAATTTCGTGAAACCTACCTAAAAAGTTATACAAAGTTTCAGCAATTTTTCAATCAAATGCGTCTATATGTCCTGCACCTAATTTTGCATTAATATAGTTTGTTATAGCATCCTTATAGGGGATGCATTGTTGAAGCATTATATAAGTTGAATTCCATCTTACAAACATATCTAGGGCTAATGTTCTAAGAGTTGGATTTAGTGCTTGTAAGAACCTAAACCAATCTTGTTCGCGTGGGTTATTACCTTGAATCCATACAATACTATCTCTAATTGTTTTAAATCAGATTTAAGTATGAATTTATTACGTGGCATGCACAACGTTGGTGAAAAATAGTACCATCACCGAATAAACTTAAATCATTTTCGAAATATTCAATTGCTTTAGTATTTACACTAACATTATCTAATGTTATAGCCATCACTTTATCTCTTAATCTATATTTATCAGTTACATTTAAAATTGTATTATATATTAAATCGGCGTTGTGTGATCCTAGAACACATTTAAAACATAATATTCTCTTATCTAAATCAAAGCCTATAAAGTAATGTCCGGTTACAGCTAAATAATTTTTGTTGGCAATAGTAGACCAAATGTTTACCGTTAACGCAACACAACTGCTAGTAGAGTGTAAAAGGTTTATTAATGCTTCTTTTTCTTTTTTAAATACTTTTAACAAATCTTTCCTAAGAGTAGTTTTTGAAGTAAACTATGCATTAGGATTATGTACAACTTTGATATATCACTGCCAATTAGGATGCTCTACAAAACTAAGTGGTTGATCTAATGCAGCTATCATTCGCACAACTTCCATATGATCTACTTGCAGATCGTATTTTCTGTAATGACTGAGAAAATCTCAGACTTTAAATAATACAATTTATGTATTTAAGCCAAGAATTTTCTTAGAAAATACTATGTTATATTTTCTAACTGAAGGATTTATGGAATTAACATTGGTATTTCTAAATTCTATAGTAGATTTCATACTAAGTTCATGTTTTACGATCAAGTAAATTCGATCGATAAATTCTCACCGCACTTTAAGGCGGAAGAATTTTCAGTACATATGTAGTTTGAGAATCTTAATTTCAAGAATCTCCAAGCACAGTATGATGTTAGCAGCGTATAAAAAAACGCTCTGACATTTTAAAAGAAGAGAAAATCCTTAATTGCCAGACAGTTAGGTTAAAGTCACAAGATAAATACCTATAGTAGAAGGGTACAATGTGAGCTCGGGAGTTGACACCGTCAGAAACAATGTCATTCCCGGGATATAATGCATAAATCTAAATTTAGAATTTGTTCAGTCTATAATAAATTTCAAGACTTGAAATAGTTTAAAATATTGCGCGAATAAGAATTTAATGTGATATTGAAGTAGTCGGGGATTAATATTGAACTGTAAATGAGCAGTAGAAAAGGAACCGTCAGAAACTAGAATTTCCTGTCGGCTAAGTACTTCCTTACAGTCAGTATAATTTTTAACAGTTTAAAAGAAAACTTAAGAGAGTGAACAAAAGTACAAGGGGTAGGTAATATTTTTCTCTCTCTCCTTCTCCACTTGGCCGGCCATGCATAGTGAAATTAGAGCCAAATTTTGGCTAGTTGAGTGCGCTAAAGGGTTTCATGTTAAGGTGTGATGTGATGGTAGTGGTTGAAGGGGAAATCATGGCATACTTGCTCCTTCTTTTCTCCACCTAGAACCGGCCATGCTTGGGAGATTGGAACTCAAATTTTGGTTGAAATGAAGGAGTTGATTGGTGTAAAAAAAAAATATTTACCAACATGTCCATAAAAGGAACCATCATAAGCTAGGCCTCATTTTTCTCTTTTCTCTTTCTCTCCACCCCAAAACCGGCCACACCACACCATTTCCTCTCAAAAAAATTTCTCTCACTCTCCTAACTTTAAGCCACTAGCAAACAATGGAAGAAGAAGGAGAAGATCAAAAGATTCTAGGAGGAGTCTAGTCAAGCATCTCTACAAGGGTAAAAACTCTAAACCCTCTTTTTCTTATGTTCTAGTAAAGTTTGAGATGTAAAAATATTCTTCTCAAATTTTCTCATACCCTTCTAGTTCCAAGCCATTAACAAACCCTAGAGGAAGAAGAATGTGATCAAGTATTCTAGGAGGAGCCTAACCAAGGATTTTCTTCAAGGGTATAGATTCTAAACCTTTCTCCTCTATTTTCCTACCAAAAATTTTGTTGGAAATCAAGGATGTAACTTGTGGTCCTTGAGGAGATAAGTTGTAATAAGGGTATGTGATTTTTATGTTAGTTTTGTGTGTTTTGAGGTTAGTGTGATTAGTATTATGTGGTAAGCTTATGTTTGGTTTAAGTTGTTTATTTTGGGTTGGAGGAAAAATTTTTCGGTTACTTTGAACGTGGAAATGAGAATCCTAGAGCGAGATTTTTCAGTATTTCAAAGTTTAAACTTAAGGTTCTTGATGTTTTGAATGTTTTTCTATGACTGTGACAAAACTCAAGTTTAACTCTAAATGCAAGTTTTAAGCCATTTTACAAAAACGGGACAGGCTGTCCAACACAGTTTCTAGAAAAAGACTGCAGCTACTGTTTTCAACCAAACGAGGCCTTTAGAGGCTGAATTTCAGTTTTCTCTAAAAACGAAAATTTTAGATCTCAACGAGCCAAAGAATTGTCGTGAAGAATAGATTTTCAAAATCCGACCCTAAGATGTAGTAAAATGCAGATTTCAGAAACTGTACAGTTTTAACAAAACAAAACTAACACAATGTTGGTTTTTAACAAAAAGTTATCAAAGAACCCGAGATGTGATTTCAGTAAAATACTATGGTGTTAAACCTCATTTTAACGGAAGTATTCGTAAAGAAAGTTTTAAAAAAAAATAATTTCTTTTAAAGAACTTAATGGTTTAACGAGCAAATCATCCCGACGGACGCCAACGAGCCCAATACGATAGGTCCTTGGAATTTCAAAGATTGGATGTGGGTCTAACGCTCGCATTCATTCAAGAGACCCCGTTCGAGTTTAAATTCCAACGGCCTAAGAGTTAGAATGCCGTGAATAAGTTTCTAGGCCGAATTGGGCCTTAATATCATAATAAGTCAAATAAGGAAAATTATGGAGAATAAGTTACTAGATTGGG